CTCACCCCAAACTCGGGAATCCCAGATGCTCCCCAATCTAACTTCTTGAGCTCTGATACGAGGCTGCAAGTGGAAAATGTCACAGTTTTCTGCACAAAACTACTAGAAATATCGCATAAAATTACCTTTATGCCATGTGTATAAGGTGTGTTTGAAACATGAATGAATTTCATGTTCAGACTTGGGTACCAATCCCAAGATATCTCATTAGGAGAGTGCAAATATTCAAAAGTCCAAAAAATACCTGAATGCAAAACACCTGTGGTCCCACGCGTTTGAGGCGAGGGCTACTCAGCCGGCAATACTGAAGTCAACACTACCAGGGATGCCGGGCCAGGGGGCACAGGCAGGCAATCCCAGTGGCTCAGTGCGGGGAGGCTGACGCAGGCTGGTCGTGAGTTCAAGGCCAGCCTCAGCAACTTCGGGAAGCCCTAAGCAGCTTAGTAAGACCCTGTCTCAAAATAAAATATCAGAAAGGCTGGGGATGTGGTCCAGTGGTTAAGTACCCCTGGATGCAATCCCCAGTGCCAAACAAACAACAATAACGACAAAAAGCTGTCAGGGAGAGTTGGGAAGAAAAAGAGGGGCAGGGTGTTTTCTTAATGCCAAGACTTCTCCTTCCACCTGATTTTAGGGTTTAATGAAACCAGAAACTTCTAGAATGGAGAACAGAGTTTCTCAAGATCAGCAATATGGACACTTGCAGCCAGAGCCTTCTCCGCCGTGGGGGCTGTCCTCTGCACTTTGGGATGCTCAGCAGTATCCCTGGCATCTGCCCACTACATACCAGAGGCACCGCACCCTGGCCCCAGCCCTGTGTGGGACAATCAGAAATGCCTGCAGACATTGCCTAATATCCTCTGTGGGGCAAAATGACCACTGGCTGAGGGCCCTTGGTCTAGACCAGTGTTTTTCAAACTGGGGAGGGGAGAAGCCTGTCTCAAAAATTAGTTGGCAGTAAAACCAGATGTGTGAGTGGTATCTAGCACTAGAAGAAGAAGAAGGAGGGGGAGGGGGAGGGGGAGGAGGAGGAGGAGGAGGAGGAGGAGGAGGAGGAGAAGGAGAAGAAGAGGAGAAAACCACACAAAAGTGGATAAATAAGAAAATTCCAGGGCTTTTCACACACGGCAAGAGCAAGGATTATTTCATGAACCCTGATTGCAATTCAGTGCCCGTGAGGGTCCTGTGCTTCTATGGGGGGGGAGGTCTACTTCTCCTCGTGGACGAGCAGTTCTCTGCAAAGAAGGAATCTCACAAGAGCTCAGAGCAGTAGAGGAGAAACAGCAGCCAGAGGAATGGAGGGTGACCCAGGCCCCCCATCAGGGAGATCAAGTTAGGCTGCAGCCCACCAATAGGAGACACCCACCATGGCAAGGGCCGTCTGCCCCAGAGCATCTTGGGAACATGCAGAACACCCAGACAAGAAGGAGGAGGTCGGAGACCAAGTGCTCACAAGTGCTGCAGGTCTGCCCCTGGGTAGAAAGCAGAGAAATGCTGTCACAGAAAAAAAAAAAAAAAAAAAAAAAAAAACCTGTTTACTCTACCCTGTGCTAGTTTTAGGGTGGCCTATTTTGAAGTTTTGTCTTTTCCCTTTAGCTTTACTGGGTCTGTGTTAGGAGCCCCTTTCCACCTAGAGTGGGTGCCTGCAAAAATGTTACACTATAGCATGAAAAAAAGTTTGACTAAGGATGTAGCTCAGTTGGTGGAGTGCTTGCCCAGCATGCACAAGGCCCGGGGTTCAATTCCCAGCACCACCACCAAAAAAAAAAAAAAAAAAAAAGTTTGGCTAAGACATATTTCATACATCATAAAATTCCCCCTTGCAACTGTGTAACTCCTTGTTCTGTTTTGAGTGATTTTATAGAGTCAGGCAATCCTGATCCTAATCTGGCTTTAGAACATCCCCCTCCCCCAAAGAGCCTGGAGCCCACTCTAGTCAGTCCCCACTTGTTCAACCATGTGTAGCACCATTTCAGTGGTTCACTCCTCTTTATGGCTGAATCGTGTTGCATTCATTGTACGACTAGATCATATTTTTAAATCAGTGTTATCCACTGATGGACATTCGGGTCGTTTTCACGTTACAACTCTAGTGACTAATACTTTGCTATGAGCATTCATGTAAGAGGCTATAGATGTGTTTTCATTTCTCTTAGCCAAGTATCTATGATTGATCACATTTTAACACTGAAGTGATCAATTAAAAACCCTTCTTTCTGAGCACTATCAGGGGATTCAGAAAATGTTCTGAGTTGCTTCCTTCTAAGAAATAGAAGTTGAGGGCTTGGTGTTAGATTGCTTTCCTATCTCGTGTGAGGTTCTTGGTTCAATCTCCTGCATCGGTCAGTGTTTAGCAGGAGGGGGACCACAAGTTCCAGGACAGCCTGAGCAATTTGGCCAGACCCCGACTCAAAATAAAAACTAAAAAGGGCCAGGGGTGTAGCTCAGTGGTAAAGCACCCTGGGTGCAATTCCTAGTACCAAGTAAATAAGTAAATAAATCCCCAGTACCACAAAAACTGAGCAAGCAAACAACAAAACCAGTTGTAGGTGATGCTTTATGGAGGGTGACTGTACACTTGCAAATCTCTTCTTTTCATATTCAATATTGAAACAGAAGCAAGGGGAAGGAAGTACCTTGGGAGGCAATTTCCTCATGCCTGTTTATGTGACAGACACAAAAGCAGGGGGTGATTCCCGTCACTTAGAGGACTTTTCACAGCTCTGGCATGAGCTTCTTAGGACCGCCAAGTTCAGCATTAATGGGAGCAGTGGATTATTCTGTATCCCGGGGATGCCTTCTTGTCCCACCATATGGAGACTTGTGTCTTTCGTTTACAATCACTCAATTGATATGTAATCAGTGATATCCACCATTCTGCTTAAGTGTGCATAAGAATACAAATATAAAATGCTATATTTAGCAGAGAACATGAGGAAAAGAAAATTTCCACTCATTACCATAAACACTGAGGCTTTGTGGTATTTTGGAGATGACCCTCAGAAAGAGGCTGCTGATGGGGGATGTTTGCAATGCTCTGGAGCATGCCCTGCCACCCCTTTATCCACCCTCTTCTGGGCTTTGAAGTCTCAAAGAACAGCAATCAGCACTTGGCTTGGATGCTTGACTAATGTTTTCTTCCTTTAACTCTAGAAAGTTACAAATAAGAATTCCAAACAAGCCCAAAGCGGGCTACCATCCACACTTACCCATGGCAAGGGGGACACTGTATCCACTTGTTGCATTGAGGGTTATGGAGAAAAAGGTTACTAAAGTAATTTACACAAGTGGGGCTAATTTAGGACACAGTGTTTCTTTTGGGGAATGCGTGTGGCACGGGGGATCAAACCCAGGACCTCATGAATGGCAGGCAAGTGCTCTCCCACTGAGCTACACACCCTGCCCCCTGCCCGACCCTCTGCATTGCATTTCTTAAATGTTAAAGAAGAGGAATGTTCTGCAACAGGGAATGGCTGATACATCCCGGCATGTAAAATTCCACACAGCGGAATTTTAAGCCTTCATTCCAAGTATGACTTCGAAAAACATTTAGTGACCTAGAAAAATATTTTTAAGGGTAGGTAACTAAATCAGAACGCCAAACTATTCACAGTGTGAGCCAAATTTTATTAGTCACCTCCCCGCCACCCTCAACTCCCATTTTGGGATAGAAATTATTTTCTGCGTAGAGAAAAATGACAGGCCTGTTATGCTTGCAGATGGTAACATGTTTTCCTCTGGGAATTCATCTTTTTTTTTTTTTTTGGACAGAAAAGGGAGTATGCTCCATTACATAAAAGGTGCTAAATATCCTTTAACATCTAATTATTCAAGTGACACAAGATTTCTTCAGAAAGAACTCTGGCCTGGCGTGGTGGTGCGGTAGCTCCCAGCGACTGGGGAGGCTGAGGCAGGAGGATCACAAGTTCTTGACACTGGCCTCAAAAAGGCACGGGGATGTGTCTCAGTGGTTAAGCAACTCTGGCTTCAAGCCCTAGCAGCAAAAAACAAAACCAAACCAAAAAACCCCACGCGAAGGCAGGCATTTAAATAACTAAGGGGACAGGCTGGCTCCTGCCACGATTCCAAGTATCAGATCTCAGAGGTGACCCTAGGGGGTATCTGATGGGCGCATCACAGGGCCCCGCTGGAGGGCGTTCTTCCTGGATTTGAGGTTTCCTTGCAGGGCGGGGTGGCCAGCAGCAGTTCTGTCCCCCACCCTCTAGGACATTGAGCCGAAACCTGGAGCCGCCCCACGGTGTCCACCGACTGGCCCAACAGCCCTCGAGGTCAGGGCCTGACCTTCCCGTCCCAGGCTTTCCTTTAGGGTCGCCCACCTCCCCGAGCCCTGCCCCTGCACCTCCCCTCGGCGGTCCCCCCGTCTGCAGGCCGGGAGCGGGGGGCGCACCCCGCAGGCCTGCGCAGCCGGCGGTGGGGGCGGGGCGGTGCGCTGCTCTTCCAAGGTCCTCGGTAGCTCCGGGCCGCGGCGGGGCGCGGGCGGTGACCTCTTAACAAAGAACAGGTTTTGCCGTCGCCCCTCCCCCGCCCGGGAGGCGGGGGGGGGGGCACGTGACCTTTGCAGGCTTCGCCCACCGAGAGCTGGCAGCCGGGGCGGACCACTGGGGAGGGGACGAAGGGTCAGGGAGGGAGGCCGGCAGCAGGCCC